TCATTCACTTGTTTTACCCTCACATTCACTAGATTGTATCGCGTTCAGTAGCTTTACTTTTGTATTCAGTAGTTTTGCTCACACAATCAGTAGTTTTACCCTCACTTTAACTAGGTTTACCCCTCATATTCAGTAGTTTTATTCTCATTCACTTGTTTTACTCTCACATTCACTAGATTTAATCACGTTCAGTAGCTTTACTTTTGTATTCAGTAGTTTTGCTCACACAATCAGTAGTTTTACCCTCACTTTAACCAAGTTTACCCCTCATATTCAGTAGTTTTATTCTCATTCACTTGTTTTACTCTCACATTCACTAGATTTTATCACGTTCAGTAGCTTTACTTTTGTATTCAGTAGTTTTGCTCACACAATCAGTAGTTTTACCCTCACTTTAACTAGGTTTACCCTTCATATTCAGTAGTTTTACTCTCACATTCACTAGATTTTATCGCGTTCAGTAGCTTTACTTTTGTATTCAGTAGTTTTGCTCACACAATCAGTAGTTTTACCCTCACTTTAACCAAGTTTACCCCTCATATTCAGTAGTTTTATTCTCATTCACTCGTTTTACTCTTACATTCCCTTGTTTTGTTCACATTCAGTAATTTTACCATCACTTTCAGTAGTTTTATCCTCACATTCAGTAGTTTTACTCAATCAACACTTTACTTTTAGACTGTGTAGTTTTACTCTCACATTCAGTAGTTTTACTCTCTCATTCCTCTCACAGGCACTAGTTTTAATCACACTCTGTAGCTTTCCTCTTGTATTCACTAGTTTTATTTTCTCACATTCACTAGTTTTTACCCTCATGTTCAGCAGTTTTATTACTCGTGTTCGCTAGTTATACTCTTACTTTCAGTACTTTAACTCTCGCATTCACTGGTTGTATTCCCAGATTCAGCAGACTTACTGTTATATTCAAAGACTTGTATAAGTTTTAGTTTAGTTTCTTCTTATATGGGGTGCTAACTTCATGGAGGTGAGCAACATTTTCTGTGTATATTAAAAGTATTTTTTATGTAAATGCAAGAACTCAAATGGTTAATGTGCGAACATGCTTTGGGTATGGGACAGGTTTGAAAAACAGCCTACATAGCACCCTGTACTTACTTACACGCATATGCACACAGATACAGACACACAGACACACACACACACACATGCACAGATACACTCCTGGGCTGTGAGGTGAAGGCCGCATGATTAAGTGTCTCGTAACAGGGTGACAGCTGGCACTGTTCAAATGGAACAGGAACAGGTTACACACGGCTGCTCACAGAGAACGATACGCAACAGTCTCACACACTCTCTCGTACACATATATACACAAATGAACTCTAGCTGAAAAGCTACAAACAATTCAGCTGGCACACTTTCTTGTCCTTTCAGTGCTCCCTATTCTCCCTAGTCAGCCCCTTGCCCCCTCTTTCTCTCTTTTAATTCTTTCTGGCTTGAGAATGTCCTCATGTTAGATATGTTTTAACAACTGAATTACTATTCACAAAATGAAAACATTAGTTGCAGATAATCTTTCAGCAGTAAAGCCGGAGCAATACAGCACCCTTACAAAATCGACTGGGCTGAAAATGTACTTTCATTACACCTTCAGACACAAAGACTTGGAGAAAAAGACACACCCAAAAAAAACAAAAAAAAAAAAACAAACATGTCTGTATATCCATCACCACCTTTTCTGTAAGAAATAGCAAGATATTCATACATGGATGATTGACAGCTGGGATAGGTTATTCATCACAGATACATATTATTGGAGGATGCTGTGAAAATAGGAAACTCTTGGCTACAGAAGCAGTGGGCTAATTTCAGGTGCACGAGGCAACAGACATTTGATGATTTCGCAATACTACAACCGTCTGCTTCTAGAACATTCATTATTTTCGATGCTGCACTTGAATAGGCAGACACAAAGACGACATGCTTAGCCTACAGACTAATCAAACTGCATATGCAAATTTGATTCAGATGAGCAAGGAGCCAGACTGGGACAAAAATTCAGCCCGGGAGTTTTACATCCACCCAGGCCACCCCACGAACCCACAACAAATTTTATGACCATTGACTACCTACTGTAACATACATTCACCTACCAATTTATTAGAAACCCCTGCACATCTGCTTATCCATCCAACGAGGTGGCAGCTCAATAAATAAAATCATGTAGACATGGGCAAAAGCTTCAGTTAATATTAAGACCAAAGATCAGAATAGGGGGGAAAAAAAAGATATTCAGGTGACTCTGACCATGGATTGATGGCCAGTGCCAGACAGGATTATTTGAGTATTTCAGAAACTGCTGATCTCCCAGGATTTTCACAGATAACGGTCTCTAGATTGTACACAGAATGGTGTGAAAGACAAAAAAATACCCAGTGCGTGGCAGTTCTGTAAGTGTAAACACCTTGTTGAGGAGACAGGTCAGAGGAGAATGGAAGAAACTCAAAAACAACAACTCTTTACATCAGTTGTGAGCAGAAAAGCATCTCAGAGCAAACAGTTTACCTAGTTTTGAAGTGAAGTGAAGTGAAGTGACGTGTAGCCAACTATGTTGACCCATACTCGGAATTTGTGCTCTGCATTTAACCCACCTAAGTGAACACACACACCGTGAACACACACCCGGAGCAGTGGGCAGCCTTTTTTAGCTGCGGCCCCCGGGGAGCAGTTGGGGGTGCAGTGCCTTGCTCAAGGGTCTCACCTCAGTCGTGGTATTGAGGGTGGAAGAGAGCGCTGGTCATTCACTCCCCCCACCTGAGACTTGGACCCACGACCTTCAGGCTCACCTTCGGGTTACAAGTCCGACTCTCTATCCATTAAGCCACGACTGCCCCATATTGGAATAGGGTTCCTAATAATTTGGCTGTTGAGTGTATCTCAAAAGAAAAACATAAGCTGCATTACCTTTTACTTTTACTATATGGATCAAACATAATTTCTAGGAACTGCAGGATTTGGCAGCATCACAGGAAGAAAAAAAAAAAAAAAGTAAGCAGGTCAAACCAATCGCAAGGCAGGCCAGGCCACCAGAATTTCTCTCGAATTTCCCGATGGCCAATCCGAGCCTGGTTGTCCCCGGATGTGTTCTTTCCTCACGTTGCCTCGTGGAGTTTTTACTCGGCACTATTGGCACTGGCTTGCTCATTAGGGATCTAAATCTATATCCGGATTTCTGCAAAGCTGCTCTGTGATAACGTCTACTGTTAAGTGCTACACAAAGAAATTGAAATAAAATAGAAGTGAACTAATTTAGCACTTACTCTCTGATTTTGGGGTGTTAAATGACTTCAATCTGTGTGTGTGTTCTTCCCATTTTGTTCTATTTTTAAATGGATTTTTGGCCAAAGTGTTGTTCTGGTGTGGAGAATTGACTTTGGTTGACCTACTGATTTCCCATATGGATTTCTGATGCCGATGCAGTATGGTGTTAACAGCAACAGTCAATGAACCCTACCACTTTGCCCCAACAACACAAAACCCAGAGGTGGAAATGGCAGCACTTTCCGTATTCTAGCTCTGACAGTTCCCCATGACTCATCACAGTTCATAATTGGACTTAAGCGGAGATGTGCGTGGGGCTGTTTGTGCACTCTCGCTTGCGCAGGGCTTTAATGTTTTGTTTGTACCTGCCTGCGATATTTTCTAATGGATATAATTGGTTCTATTTGTCAAAATATAAACAGATTAACAGTCTAATTTAAACCACGGCAACACTGACCAGGCAGTTACTATGTAAATGTATTATGCAGCGATGCACAAGCCTCGTGTTTGCCATGTGAACCTTTCTGGAAAGGTGTCCAAAAAAAAAAAAAGTGTCCCCGCTTAGAACACGCTATCTGTTCAATCTGAATAATATATAATATACTGTACATGGTCACTAGCACAGAACCTTAACCACTGAGGTATCATTACGCATGTCTTACGCCTGCTTTTAGGTAGCCAAGTGGCAGAGATTTACAGTAATCCGAGATCAGTCTGGAGATTTCTGGAGGTTTCTGTAGCAACTGTACTAGGGAGAAGGACACAAAAGGCATTAAATCAAGAGAGCTAGTCAGCCAGGAACTTATCAGAACAATGTTCCTAAGAGAAAAAGGTCACACACTGCAGGAGTGTGGTGAGAGAGAGGAAAGCCGAGAGAAAATGGGCGTTCCATCTACCTGTTTGTACAATAATTCGGAACTTGTGCATAAGAAAAACAGAATGGGGAAAAATTCGAAGCTTCCTGTCAATCAGGAAACTCCTTCGTTGTGTTTTTGCTGTGATTATCTTTGTTATCAAGGGCGCTCATACATATTGTGCATGTTTTGTTCAATTCTCAGTGATGTGTTGTAAATTGAAAAAAATTCGGGATCACACTGCAGTGGTGGATCTCGCCATGGCCACAGAGTCTCCCTGTTCAGTTTCCTGGACTGCGTGCCAGATGCTGAGGCAGAACCACCCATCCGATCTTACTACAAAACACAGGAGTCAAAGTATCCATGCTGCTTAGCAATAGTGAAACATAGCAAACAATAGCAAACGCTTAGGAGCAGTCCTACCACCCACTACAAGATAAAGATCACGTTGCTTTGAGCAGCTAGTTGGGATTTGATGTATACTCGAGCCTTGCTTAAAAGACTTAAAGGCTTATACTTGTAAAGCGATGACTTGTTGATGCCACTCCTGCTAACTAATCAGCAGTCTACAAGAATCAACACATTAAGCCAAGGCTACTGTTTACTAATGGGATAACGTGAAATTAAATAACACTCAACTAAGCTCATAAAAGCATTCAGGATCTTCAGCGGTGTGCTTTAATTCATTACTCAGCCATTTGATTGCGTTGTCCCATTTGGAAGCAAACTTCTTGCCTGTGTCTCATACACGAGGTCCCTCGGCCGCTGATACTACATCAACGTTCGAGCACATGCGACGTTTCATAAAATGGCCTCCACCAACCAGACAAACGCTGAGGCATGTGCTCGAATGTGCGATAAGGGTCCGTGGAGGACTAGTGGTTAGGTCCCAGCACTCTTACCACTGTGGCTTGTGTTCGATTCCCGGCCAGCGAACCAGCCACTGGAGTTGCACAAGCCGCTCCCAAGCCCGGATCAATTTGGGAAGGGTTGCGGCAAATACGGCATCCGGTGTAAAAACCGTGCCAAATCAAATATGCGGAACAAAGATCCGCTGAGGCAATCTCGAACAGGAGCAAAAGAACAACAACAACTTGATTTGTCTACAGGATTCATAGGTTACCTTGGCATTTGCCTATTTAAACGTAGCATTAAAAGTACTGAATGTTCTAGAAGCGATCTGTTGTAGTATTGCAAAAGTATCAAACACGTCAAGCAACTCTACTCTACTCTACTCTACAGCACACGGGTTCTGTTGCCAAAAGTTTCTGATTATCACAACCAATATGAGTGAAAATGACTCTTTTGGGGAAAATAACTGTCCTCATTGTGCGTCTAGCTCTGGTGTAATGCAATGACACTATCGGTATCTGTTTAAAAGTCCGAATATTCATATCCGTATCTTTATTCAGCTTAAAACCTGGAGTGGGTGTGGCCTAAACGTTTGTTTTTAAATGAAATATGAACCCTGCGACTACATGTCCCAGAAACTCTGGAAAGCCCTAGAGGCAGAAATGCTCAGCCTGGTCTGTGAATTCTGGCTCTCAACCTCAGCTACAGCGCTCGACATCGTAATTAGCAGAGATGTGTCGGTGATGTTTAACGAATTTAATCTTCTAGTTTCTAAATCACAGACAAATTAGTAGCCTATTTTAAATCATTTAAACCACTCACTCAGCTCATAAAAATCTACATGATCTTTAGCTGTGTGTTTTAGGGTTTATGTCATTACACAGCCATTTCATTGTGTTGCCCCATTTGAGGAAAAACTTCTTGCCTGCGGTCATTGACTCATATACGAAGTCCCTTATCCACTGAGACTACATAAACATTTGGGACGTTTCATAAAAAATGGCCTCCACTAACCAGACAAACACTGAGGCATGTGTACGTGCGATAAGCTCTAAAGCAGGGGTCGTCAACTGGTGGAACGCAGGCCCAGCAAATATTTCACCAGACTGCACCGTGCGAAACACACCGTAGCAGAGCTGATCAATGTAGAGTAGTTCAGCAACTCCAGTTTTGTTAAACGCGAACCAGCTCAACCTCTGTATCAGATCCTCTGCTGACGTTTGTCCAATCACATGCACTTATGTAAAGAGACTAGCTACGGAAAGAAAAAGCTAGAGAGCTAGGTCGGACGTATTTGATGGAAACGGAATGGTTTCAATTGGTATGCATTTATTTCCCCCGAGCAGGCCGTTTTTAACTTTAATCCAGGCGAGCAGATATGAATCTTTCGGAACAAAGAGAGACCACGTTCATTAACATGGGGATGTACAGGTTCATTGTCCGCATTCACTCGCTCATCCACAGTAACTGCTTTAGAGTCACGGTAGTTTAAATGACAAATTTGTTGATATTTTGGAAAAAAAGAGAACCAGAACCAACTATGTTTGTTAGAATATATCGCACAATCAAAAACAACCTCTAACGTAATAAAGCGAAGAGCCAGTCCAAAACAAAACAATCATGTCTTATATTATCTATAGCCATAAACTAATCACTAAGCATTAAACTGCTGTCACCGGTCAGTCATGTTAGTTGCATATCCAGACAAAGACATTTTATTTAGCTGGACCTTGGCGAATTTTAGATGAATACGGTATCTCTGTCTCTCTCCAGCACTCACCCCCAACCCCGGAGGTACATCATACCGGAATGACCTTCAGCACACTTTTCCCAGATTCTCTTTTTATTTGCTAAAACTGAACTGAACCTGATATTTGGCACTGAACTTTCTGCTGTTGCCTGCTCGTGTGGAATGCGGCCTGTCGTTTAGGGTTGCAGTATGGGACATATTTAGGGGTTATTAAGCAAGTATTTTTAGGTCTTCTGTTACGGGACACTTGGGTATGCCATGCTGTGACATTTTCGGACAAGCTGTACGGTAAAGAAGAAGAAGGCTATGGTCTGTAGGGGTGCCAAAATATTTCTAATGCTCCGTCACTGCTTATTGGAGTCTCACAGAATCAGTGTCAATCAAACTTTTGTCCCCAAAATGATCATCTCTGTATTATGTTTATTTTAGCATTATGTTCAAATGCCTTGTATATAGAAAATTGTGACGAAGTCTTGTATAAATGCAGCATATTGTCATTTAGAAACATTCTTTTGGTCTCTAGTTTATATCACACACACACACACACACACACACACACAGAATAAATCTACTAATACATGATAACTATTGTACATTTATAGACCATTCAGTTAAAATGGCCACAAAACTACTAAAAATAGCCTAGAAACACTTTTCCATTCATAAAAAGCAAGGACATACATGATATCTAAATTGGATATGACCTCTTGCCCTTGCATCCACACCTTCCCCCACTAGTTACCCTTATGCTATTACCCACAGTATTCCAAACTGTGGAAATGTAACCCTGTAAATCTGCCCCCCTGACTGACCAAAACATCTGTTTACCACAATCTATACAAAATCTATCTGCGAATTGTAGGCGTAGCAGTACGATAAACTCAGTCATCGACTGTACTACCATTTAACTGTTCGTAACTACTCTGCAGTACTACATTTCACTGTAATGAACGTTTACACCTCGGTAGCTAGCCAGCTAGGCAACTAGTTTGCACTGGTCACAGATAAACATGCACGGGATTTCAATTTATTTAACACGAGCCAAATCTTTAAAACGCACCGTAACAGTTACGCTTCCGCCCATCCTTAACATTAATTAAGTTAACTAGCTGTCACGATGCAACAGCGTTTTGTCTTTAATACCAGGTACAGTATCGCAAATCTCCGCACCAAAACAATACTATGGATAAAAATACGTTTAAAAATAAATCAAAATAGGAAGAAAAAAAAAAACACACACACACACACACACACACACACACACACACACACACACACACACACACACACACACACGTCATTTAACACCAACAATTCAGACTTTTAGCACTCAGTCAATTCAAGCGTATTTATTTGTGTAGTATTTTTTTTAACAATAGGGCAGATTTAGAGAAATCCTGATGTGGACTGAACAAGCCAGAAGATGGCAATGGCAAGAAAAAAAACTCCCGGAGACAGCATGAGGAAGAAAACGTTAAAGAACTTCAAAGTGACACCCGATAGTAGGATTATAAATCTTTACAGTATACAGGTGTACAAGAGATTAGAAATTAGGCTACAATTTTTACGAATACAAAGCTCACCATGAATTAAACAAAACAACCACATAACTGAATAATTCCGATCTAAGAATCATGTATTACAGCCAATCAGGACTCAGGACCAATCAGGACTCAGGACCAATCAGGAGTCAGGAGGCAAATGTCTCTTGTGCATGTTGTAGTATCACAGGTTCTCACCAAACATATGTACAAAAAAATGTGACCTCGAACTTCACCATTACGAAGCTAATAAAGTACCAGTCAATCCCTGAGTTAAAGCACCGTTAAACGGCAGGAATTCATAATAGTGTTCTGCGATTAACAGTGTTCTGCTTTTACATCCATCTCTGATTTGAACACCAACGTTATCACGCTGCTTCAAATTCAGGGCTTGTAAAAATCAGACAGTTAGACAAAGAAGCAGATCGTGTCACGAGCTCCATGCACCACGACACAGGAAACGCAATTAATCATTAATTAAACGCTCAACGCTTTAGCCGTTTAACCTAGCGAATCAAGGTCGCGCTTTCCGCGGCTACATTTCTCAGTGAAAGAAACGTTGGTTGAAACTTGGCTGTGTGAAACCTGGTTTCTTTATCCGTGCACCTGCCGCTTATTTATTTCTGTGCGCGTTGCACTCATCCAAGTCAAATCAGCATGCTCAGAGTGATTTGTCTACAGGCTTCACGGGTTATCTTAGCATTTGCCTATTTAAATGCGGCTCTGAAAGTCCTGAAAGGTCTAGATCTGTTGTAGTATTGCGAAAGAATCAAATACATGTCACGCAACTGTACTGTACTGTACTCTACTCTACAGCACACGGGTTCTGTTGCCAAACGTTTCTCATTATCACACCCAGCATGAGTGAAAATGACTCTTTTGGGGGAAAATAGCTCTTTAAAAATGTCCTCATTTTGAGTCTAGCTCTGGTGTAATGCAACGACACTATCGGTATCTGTTTAAAGGTCCGAATATTCATATCCGTATCTGTGTTCAGCTTAAAACCTGGAGTGGGTGTGGCCTAAACGTTTGTTTTTAAATGAAATATGAACCCTGCGACTACGTGTCCCAGAAACTCTGGAAAGCCCTAGGGGCAGAAATGCTAGCACGGTCAGCCTGGTCTGTGAATTCTGGCTCTCAACCTCAGCTACAGCGCTCGACATCGTAATTAGCAGAGATGTTTGTCCGTGATATTTAACAAATTGAATCTTCTAGTTTCTAAATCGCAGACAAAGTCGACTGACTTGACTGAGCAGTTACTAGGGATGTGAGATGTAAATGCACGTTCGCGTCAATGAACAATTCGACATGCTCGTGTTCTTTTCTTTGTCGCGGGAGCTTCATATCTGACCACTCGATGTGCCGGTGTGAAGTTAAAAACGGAAATAAAATAAAAATAAAACCTCCGGTTCGTTTCCGTTTTCGATTACACTGCCTGTTATCTGTTAATAATATATTCACATTCAGTTACATCCCTAGGGATCCAAAAGAACAAATGGAACTGACACCGAGTGTTTTGTATTATAGGTATGTGTTAGCTGAGGCGGTACAGTAGTGTTGAGAGCTGAGGTATGCTACAAGGCTGTGTGCACATGTGTGTGTGTGTGTGTGTGTGTGTTGCGTCCGAGCCTGAGAGATGTGCATTTGAATAACTACGACAGAGAGAGAGAGAGAGAAAAGAAGAGAGACCTTTACCTCAAAATAAATGCCATGTAGGATGTCAGGGAGGACCGTTAATGTGAGGAGATTCACAAGATGAGTATGATCCTGGGATTTGTAGCATGTATGTTTGT